CTTAAAGAGAAATACAGTCGCCAAGTTAATGTCCATTCAAATAATGGACTCAACTCCCTCCCCTCTCACACTACACTCGCTGGCTCTTCCCTCTCAGAGAAATTTTTGGGGGAAAACCACTAAATTTTAATAAATAATACCTCAAACTAAAGTTAGGATAATACAATTGACATTGCTGGATTCCTTGTAAGACCAGGAATATTTTGAATATAAATGTCATATATTTTGCACAAAAGATAACATAGTTACCTAGAGAAAAATTTTTATCTAAAATTTGTATGTTTAATGAAAAATATATGATGTTTATATTCAAAATGATCACCAAATTATAAGAATTCCAGCAATGTAAATTATATTCTGACCGGGTAATTTGTATGAATTTTATGAGCTAAAACAAATATCTTCAGTTAATAAAAAAAAAAATAATCTTCACAACACTATCTGTCAATCAAAGTACCCCACCTTGCCCTCCCCCCCTCTTCCAACCGCGCGGTCAGTCCCAACCCACCCCCCCACCCCCCACTAATCCTCCCTTCCAGGGTTTTTAACATTTAGTATTAAATAATACCTCGGATTAAAGTTAGGATAATATAATTGACATTGCTGGATTCCTTGTAAGACCAGGAATATTTTGAATATAAATGTCATATATTTTGCACAAAAGATAACATAGTTAATTTGAGAAAAATTTTTATCTAAAATTTGTATGTCTAATGCAAAAATATGATGTTTATATTCAAAATGATCATCAAATTATAAGAATTCCAGCAATGTAAATTATATTCAGACCGGATAATTTGTATGAATTTTATGAGCTAAAATAAATATCTTCAGTTAAAAAAAAAATAATTCTTCACTGGGTAACAGATGGTCGGTCGGTCCCTCCCTCCCCCCCACCCCCACCAACCGTCCCAAGGAGATGTGTGGGATAACCACTAAATTTTAATAAATAATACCTCAAACTAAAGTTAGGATAATATAATTGACATTGCTGGATTCCTTGTAAGACCAGGAATATTTTGAATATAAATGTCATATATTTTGCACAAAAGATAACATAGTTAATTTGAGAAAAATTTTTATCTAAAATTTGTATGTCTAATGCAAAAATATGATGTTTATATTCAAAATGATCACCAAATTATAAGAATTCCAGCAATGTAAATTATATTCTGGCCGGGTAATTTGTATGAATTTTATGAGCTAAAACAGGCAGTCAGGCAGGGTGGGGCAAATCTAAAAATAGCGTCTGGAGCCGGACACTCACCGCGTATATGTGGAAAAAATCCGTGTTAAGTGAAAGTTCAGCTCTGGCGAGGCACCGCGTATATGATAAAACGCGTTAAGTGAAACCGCGTTAGGCGGGGTAATACTGTACTTACGACCTGCTCTGACCTTACGACCGTCGGGACATACGACCGCGGCAGTCGTGACCAAAAATATTTTCAAATGACGCGCGCATTTTCTATACTGAAACGTTTCTGTCCAGGGCGAGAGCGCGGCTCGGGTCGCCGCGTGGGTACACTCACTCAGTGGAGCGCTTACTTGGTGTTTGGCTATCGTATCCTATACTGATTGCGCTGTGAACTTTCGTTATTATCGTATTTAATTGACTTTATAATGACTGGAAAGTTTAAAAGTGAAAGTGCTGGTGGTGCTCCAAAGAAAAGGAGACAGGCAATTACTTTTGACATGAAAATGAAGATAATAACGCAGCATGAGAATGGAAAAACTGTAGCAACAATCTCACGTGACCTAGGTTTCTCACACTCAACCATATCCACTATTCTGAAGGACAAGGAACGTACTCGTGATGTAGTGAAAGGAACAACACCTATAAAGGGAACTATAATTTCAAAGAAAAGACAAGGTCCTATTCACGATATGGAAAAATTATTGGTGATATGGATAGAAGACCAGATACAGAAGCGTGTACCCTTAAGCCTTCTAACCATACAGGCTAAAGCAAGATGCCTGTTCCAAAGCCTGAAGGAGCAGGCAGGAGATGAATGTGAGCAAACCTTTATAGGAAGTCATGGGTGGTTTGATAGATTTAAAAATGCTACAGTCTACACAATGTTAAGGTGAGTGGAGAGGCAGCTAGTGCCGATGTTGGTGCTGCCGAAGCTTTTAAGGAGGAGTTAGATGAAGTGATTGTGGAAGGGAATTATTTGCCTGAGCAATTATTCAATGTGGATGAGACTGGATTATTGTGGAAGCGCATGCCTGAGTGGACATACATCCACAAAGAGGCAAAAACAATGCTAGGATTCAAGGCATTCAAGGACAGAATTACACTTCTGTTGGGGGGAATGTTGCTGGTTTCAAGCTAAAACCCTTCATGATCTATCATTCAGAGAACCCCAGGGCTTTTAAACATGTCAGCAAGCACACACTGCCAGTGTTTTATCGCAGTAATAAGAAAGCTTGTATGACCTTAGCACTGTTTGAGGATTGGTTCATGACTTGTTTCATTCCACGAGCCAAGGAGTATTGTCTGCAACAACGGATTCCATTCAAGATTTTGCTGATTTTGGATAATGCTCCGGGACACCCACCACACCTGGACGACATGCACCCTGATGTTCAGGTAGTCTACATTCCACCTAACACTACCTCTATCATCCAACCCATGGATCAAGGTGCTATTGCTGCCTTTAAAGCGTATTATTTACGCACGACCTTCGCTCAGGCTGTTGCTGCTACTGAAGGTGAGAAAACGCTCAGAGAGTTTTGGAAGGAGTACAACGTTTTGTCATGGAAAAGAACATTAGTGCAGCATGGAATCAGGTTACAAAACATTGCATGAATGGAATATGGAAGAAAATCCTGAAAAGATATGTGAACAGTTTCAAAGGATTTAATGAAAATTAAGTTATTTCGGATATTAGTAACAAGATAGTGGAGTTAGGTAAACAGCTGGAGTTAGAAATTGATAATAAAGATGTTGAACAGTTGGTTGAAAGTGTAGCAGAAGGCGCTCAGTAACGAGGATGTTATTGAACTAGATGCACAGAAAATTGCAGAGGAAGAAGAGAGACAAAATGTAGAAGAACCTGCACCCCCCAAAAAGTTTTCAGTGAAACAAATAGCAGAGGTATTTGCTACAATTAATAAAGGAATGCAAATGTTTGATGGCATGGATCAAAATTATGAGCGTTATGCCAAAGTTGACAGAATGATCCAAGATGCACTTGCTTGCTACAGAGAAATTTATAATGAAAAGAAAAAACAAACTGTGCAGTCTAAATTGGACATCTATTTTAAGAAGTCCCCCAGTGCTGTCTCCTCACGTCCCACCAGTGCTGCCTCTTCACTCCCTCAAGATGATCCAATACCTTCACCAGCAAGTTTCCACAGTACATAAACCTGTCTGAAGAAAGCGACATTGATGACCCACCCAGCCCTGTCTCCTCCTCTGCTTCATCCAATTAATATAGTCTCCATGTATCCTGTAAATAGAAAATTATGGGGGCCCCGTGTGCATTCAGCTGACTACATTAAAGGTAAGTGCTCAGTCACGCTGTATCCATTCCTCATTATTTATTACTTTTACTGTACTGTATCCAGTCCTCATTATTTATTACTTTTACTGTACTGTATTTCATTGTAGATTTTTTTTTTTTTTTTATCTATGTCGGACTTAAGACCAATCGGACTTACGACCTGGATTTGGGTCCCTAACCCCGTTGTAAGTCGGGGAGCACCTGTATATATTTCTGCCACAGCACAATACAATATGGTACTTTTCCATGAAGCAAGCAGCCTAGCAACAAGCCTAAATATTTAGGCATTAGTATTATCCAGCCCTACAATAAAAGCAACAGCTGGTTGTAGTTCTATATACAGTACATAAATATATTAGTGTTACATGCCATACTTGTATGTTATGTGAAAAAATAATGTTTTATTAAAGGTGTGTTCACACGTGCATACATTTGGTTGCCAACATGTGATCAACAAGAAGAAACACGGATCTAATGCACGCAGCCGCACCCTACCAGTTGGAACCCTGTGCCTCATTTTGATCACATGTTAGCGACAAATTGTACACACGTGTGGATGCACCTTTAGGCTCACACAAAACAGCCTGTAATTTTCCATGAAGTCATGAGCCAACAGAGACATAAAAACTGGTTGTACTGTATACATAAATACCCTTAGTGTTAGTATCACTCCATATGAACCATTTCAATATAATGTTAAGAATTTTTTTTTTCATTAATACCGACTGTAACAGCACATGAATTATGCAAGGCACAAAGAATTTTGGCCACACTTCAGTTAATTTGTATCCAAGAGATAGTTCAAATAGGGTAGAGATCTGAAGTTGTCAAATTAGCAAGGTACAAATGTATTAATATTATTAATGCAAAAATAGTACATTTGCTGCTGGTCTTTCTTATTAGTGAGCATGGACTATAATTATACATTAATGTTATTATTGCCTATAAAACAACAGACTACACCAAGCAACCTGATGTGAACAAAGATGGTAGCAGTGCATGTGCCAAGAGTGGCATCTTTCTTTACTTTATTCTTAGAAAAACCTAAATAGTAGTGCTATTCCTCCACCCAATTTACTTTATTATTCAGGCAAGATATAAGTTCTCTCACATAGGTATGTTTAATTAGGTAGCTGGTTAACTTGGGCTAGGGTCCTTAAATATTATGGTCTCGGTTTTAGTGGGGATCCTCATCCCCATAGGGTTATCCTTTGACGTGAAAGATACAGGGTGAGTTTTGGAGACATTTCTAGGGAAAAAATTTGTTTTATAAGGTGGAAAATGCAGAATTTTGAATCTCAAAGCACATTTGTCTTTTCCTGTAAGTTTAAGGAGATATTGCCAGAGCACAGCAAGCATTTCCTAACTTAGCACCAATAAATCAGAACAGCAAAGCATTTATATTATTTTTAAAAGAGTTTTCAATTAAGTGAATACCTTAATTCTGGTTCTGTAAAAAACATTTGTAAATAAGAGGAATAAGTAAAAATTATGATTTTTAGAAACATTGTTATTTATCATATTTCCATATCTTCCCAATAAATATTAAAAGAAAAACCATAGTAAACTGGCATTTAAATGCAATCCTGCTATAAACTGACACAAAAATGGTCTCCAGTGCATTTTTTTAAATTTCTCTTAAATCTTCTGAAATATTATGAACATCAGCATAGTTACATAAAGCTTTGTCCACTCACTAAATATAACATGAAACTTAAATTGTCAACATGCAAAAGAACCAATACATTTTCCTCTAAATCTACAGCAAGCTTAACTCCAAATAAGAAATATACTATGCAGTACAGTATTCCTAAGACAACTATCCTCTTGGCATGGTATAAAAAAAATGAAACCCTTTCAACTGCAATTACACAATTCTAAGATTTAATACAGACAACTATTTTTGTGATTACTGCACAAAAGAACCTGTATCCTCAGATGCATTTTGTACCTTATACTACAGGTACACCTTTTCACCGAGTACAACATTTATCTTCCTAAAGACAGCAAGATATAATTCCTATCTTGTATATGCATAGATGCACCACATGAAAGATTAATTATAGGAACAGTCACCTAAAAATAAATCCTCCCAACAATTCAGAAACCTCTTATATGCCAGTCTACATGGAAAATAAATTCTAGTACACACCATTTGATTTACTACACATAATATAACTTGCTTGAGAGTGCATTTTTCTGTTCAACTGTAGCAACACACTTAATTTCTTCCTGAGTCATACCATCTCCATCCCTTTCAGACAATTCTGAGATGTGTACTTTTGCCCTGGTAATAAGAGAGAGTATATTAACACTAAAATTACTGCAACTGTATACATTATATGTATTTACTGCAAAGGAAACCTGATGTATGGAAGAATTAAATAACAAGCAACAGACATAGTAAGTAGGATTAAGTAGTGATTGTTATAGTAAGTAGTGACAGGTAGGTAGTTGGGTAAGTGTGTAGATGGGTAAAGAAGGTGTTGTAAGCAGATTGGAAAGACGGTAGGTAGCTAGATGAGTAAACAGATAGTTCGGGATATATAAGTGAGTAGGTGGTTAGGGAAGTAAATCTGCAGGTAAGTGAATAGAGATAGGAAATAAGAAGATACCGGTAAGTAGGTTGTGAGGTCAGTATATAGGTAAGTAAGCAGATATGTAGGTAGGTAGGTAAGTAAGTAGTTGGGTAGGTATGAAAGCTAGGTAGAAGGTAGATAAATAATTAAGTAGTAGGTAGATAAATAATTAAGTAGTAGGTAGATAAATAATTAAGTAGGTAGATAGGGAAATAAGTACCATAGGTACCTTTATTTTAGCATCTTATTCTTTATTCATATAAACTAATTATCTTTAACTGAAGGAAGAAAAAGTCGAGGTTAGAGTCAGCTGTTGTATTCATCTGCAGACATGAGCATGGTTTTGGTAAGTATTCTAGTGAATACAGTACAACGTCACATATATAATTCAAACTGATACAACATTAGTCATATTATATTCAAAATATCTATCAATCTAATGTATCTCATGGTTTCTTGGTGGTTGTGCTGTGATTTTACTTTTTACGTTTATCCTCTTCACCACTGATTGGCTCGTTAGCCGCTTGGGCGATCAGTCACGTCTGTTACTTTTCTTTTTCTTTTATCCTCTTCACCAAATGATCGGCTCGTTAGTCGCTTGGGCGATCGGTCACCCCTTTGTTTCACACTGTTGGCAAGTACTGGGCATGCACCAGCTCCTGAATGTACCTGAACCCGCTCCAGTGTTGGTCAAGTCTGGTCTTGAAAGAGCTCACACTCGGTGCTGACACAACACTTTCTGGTAGATTGTTCCAAGAGTTCACAACTCTCACGCCGAAAAAGTTTGCCCTCACAGTTTTCTGGACCTGCGGCTTCTTCAATCTTGAGCTGTGACCCCTTGTGGGGCGAGTGTCCGCCAGCTCCAAGTAAGGACACTCGACTGAGTAGTGTCCCTTGAGATGCTTATACACTTCAATTAGGTCTCCCCTTGCCCATCTGTAGTATAAGCTAGGCAAGTTCAGGCGCTCCAATCTCTCAGGGTAGCTGAGGTGCCGAAGTGCAGGCACCAGTCTGGTGGCCCTCCTTTGAACATTTTCAACCAACTGACAGTTCCTAGCATATCTCGGGGACCAGACAGGGTTTGAGTACTCCAGATGGGGAAGCACAATGTTTTCAAATGGTGCACCCTCGCTATTCTTCACAGCATGCATCATTTTTCCACATACTTGGGCACTTATTTCTATACTTGAACACTATTTGAATTTCACATTTCAAGTGTGATACACTTTAAAACACGGTAAGACACATGGTGGTGGCCGCACATCAAACACATGTAAAATGTTTCCTTGTACACCTGAGGTTGCTTTGTTGAATGTGCATACATAGCCATGGCATTTTCTCGTTGGGTGTCTCATTGATGCTGTAGGAAGGATACAGTCCGGGATTTGAGCAAACTGGGAGGCATTAAGGCTTTGATGTGTTTCTGGGAGTGGATGGACTGTGGCTCACACAGTTGGTGGTAGACAGCCAGAAGTTGCTTGAGGATGTGAATGGTGTGGTCAGTGAATTTCTTTCCCTTCACTTGTTGGTATAGTATGTGTGCATTTTAATAATAACATGTCCAGGAGATGGAAAAACATTTTCTTATACCATTTCGTTGTTTTCCAGGCACTTTTTACACTAGAGATCATTGCATCTGATTTATCTCCAAGTCTCATGGTTATATTATAAAAAAGAACACTCAGGTTTCATCTCGTATTGTTTTGTTGCCTTGTGTATGTTATGGCTCAGCACAAAGGTGGACAGTAGACATCAAATTAACACCCTTCTTATTACACCATTATATTGAAAGGCATTAGTGTGCTTTCCTAAGGATGACTTGGCCATCACTCCTTTCTTTTTTGTTGGGGAGGTATGGCATAGAAATACGCTTGGCTCTGCATGTCCCACAAGCCCTGGTCTTTGTTGTCATGTAAGTACCTGTACTGGAAAAACACTACCCTGTCCCCCCAGAATGGCCAGTGATAGGATCAAGTGTTGTATCAGTAGTGCCCTCATGTACATAATATCTTGGATGTAGCTCATCTTGCAATCACACATCACAAACAACTTCAGGCCAAAATGGTGTCGCTTGGGTGGAAACTGATACTGCCTCGACACAGCACTATACTTCTACGAATACAAATATTCTGGTAGTATAGATAGAAGAGGGTCCTGAATTTCTCATGTAGGTTGTCAAACATAGCGGATTTTCTTCGTCGAGTCACTGTACCCCTCTAGATTATCATAGACGTGGAGCAAATGTAAAATATTTGTGAAACTGTTTACTGAGAGTAATTTGTGAAATATTGAAGTGGCAGTCTGTACCAGGTCAGTGGTCCAGTACTCTATTTATGAGTGGCAGGGTGGCAACGTGTGGGCTGGGGGTCATCTGGGTCATCATCGCTGTTTGTGTCATCCATCCCTGCAGGAGAGGCAGGCCCAGGGGGTGGGTGTAGGGTCATAAGATGAACCAGGTGTGGGTGAGCGGAGTAAGGGAGAGCGTCGAGATAAAATGCTTATGACAAGGAATCCAGCAATGTCAATTATATTATCCTAACTTTAGTTTGAGGTATTATTTATTAAAATTTAGTGGTTATCCCACACATCTCCTTGGGACGGTTGGTGGGGGGAGGGAGGGACCGACCGACCATCTGTTACCCTGTGAAGAATTATTTTTTTTTTTTATTAACTGAAGATATTTGTTTTAGCTCATAAAATTCATACAAATTACCCGGTCTGAATATAATTTACATTGCTGGAATTCTTATAATTTGATGATCATTTTGAATATAAACATCATATTTTTGCATTAGACATACAAATTTTAGATAAAAATTTTTCTCAAATTAACTATGTTATCTTTTGTGCAAAATATATGACATTTATATTCAAAATATTCCTGGTCTTACAAGGAATCCAGCAATGTCAATTATATTATCCTAACTTTAATCTGAGGTATTATTTAATACTAAATGTTAAAAACCCTGGAAGGGAGGATTGGTGGGGGGTGGGGGGGAGGGTTGGGACTGACCGCGCGGTTGGAAGAGGGGGGGAGGCAAGGTTGAGTCCATTATTTGAATGGACATTAACTTGGCGACTGTATTTCTCTATTTCTCTTAAGTATTAATTGTGTGCATGTACCATCATAAAATTAAGATGTTATTTTTACTACAACATAGGTATGTGCCTTCAAAAAGTGGAGTTTGGGGGTCGGGCCGGTTTCTATTGGAATTAATCCCATATGTTCTGTTGTTCACTTAACACGGATTTCACTTAACGCGGGACCCTCTGGGTTCAATTGACCGCGTTAAGTGGGGTACAACTGTAGAAGAAAATGATCTTAAATTTAGACGTGTTTTTCGAATATGATAATAGATTTGGGGCAGGAATGTTGTGTGAACTAATATAAAAATACCTCGATTTCAACACACTAATATTTTTCTGGTGTATATATTGGTGTGTTTTCTTCGAAGCTTGACATTCATTTTCTTGGGGAAAAACATCATGTTTGAGGAAATTAAAAAATGACAATTTAATTATTCCAAGAAAATGGAGGTGACAATTGAAGAAACACACCAATATCCAACTTTTTTTTTTAGGGGGAGGGGAAACCTTCAGTAATTATTAGTCAACACGTAATAGACTAACTTAACCTATCCTATCTTAGGCCTAGTGCCATGTTTCCTAGCCGGACCCTGGTGAATGTATCTTATGGCTTACCTTATGCAGGTGCGTTAGGATGACGGTACAAATTGGCAGCATTAAACAGGAAGTGATGCAGGCACTGAGGCTTGGGAAACTCTCTGATAAATAATTATCTTACCAAGCACTTAGGGTAAGTGAGACTTCAGTCAAGATTCGTTTTAGGCCGAACATGGAACTTCATGTTTCTGTTTACAGTACAGTATACTGTAATTTATAGGGAGAAGGAGGGAAAAGAAATAGAAAACTTTATTCTATTACATTTCCCTTGTAATACTAGATTTTTTAGTATTTTGACTAATATGACCCCCCCAACCCCAAAAAATAAAAAATAAATAAATAAACAAATTACCAAAAATATTGGTTATTCAAAGTTGGCAGGGCTGTGAAGGAGAGGGAAAATGTGAGGCAAAAGTACAGGAGAAAACCGGAGGTCGGGAAACCTGTGATATTTGATAGGGTCACACTGGATTACACCCTTCTCACATGTGTCTGGGCCCGAACCCTTGACATATTGGTGAGAGATATGCACATTATTGCTGTAGTGTACTTTAAACTAAAGTGAATGTATGCGATACTTCAAAACATATTTTTATATTTGGTAAAATTATCGTTTCGGTTTTCCACCTAATTGGAAGTTGAAATTAATCTTTCAAAACACATCAAAAACCATCAGAAAAACGTAATTTCAACCACACCCAACCTAATCTAAACCTAACCTGCTGGATGACCAAAACAATAATACCTTATTTTCTTTTTAACTGGACATTTTGGAGGATTTTTTTTATAGGAATACAGTACAGTGGTCCCTCGGTTAACGATCGCCTCGGTTAACGAGATTTCGGTTAACGATTTACCTTCCATAAGATTCCTAACTTCGGTTAACGAGTAATCCCTCGATTAACGAGTTTTTTACGAGCCGACTTCAACATGTTTTCGCTTACATTTGGCGGTCCACCAGCTGTAGTATTAGTCCGCCAATACAGTAATCGGTTTTAGGGCTTAAATGCCTTACTATTTTAGTAAATATCAAGAAGTTTATACTATTCAATAATTTTAAAAGTTTAATATTAACTTTTTTAGTCATTTTTACAATTATTGAACATAATTGAAGGTAAAGAAACTAGTTTCTGGCGTGCCATCCAGCCTGTTAACACACCAGACAGGCGTTAGCCTCTCTCTGTTTTCACTGGAGGTAACATCTTACTTGAGACTCTCTTCAACTAAACGCTTTTTTTTCTGTGTTTCCAAGCAAATTATTGGTCATTTTGAAATATATTTTACATATTGACAATATATAATGCAGTGCAGTGTTGATTCCAAAAAAAAAAATCAAGAATAGAATCCTTTCATAACTCAGGAGTGCATATATTTACAGTACATCACTTATAAATTAACATTTATAAATGTGCAAAAAACATCAAACTTAAAGCATAATATTGTAATTAGGTCTTCCTTGCTTTCAGAGGCAGAGGCCCATAACTCAGCTTGAATTTCTTTGTCTTCTTCCTCTTTCTGCCTATATTACCCTGTAAGGAAAGGCACAGAATTTAGAGAGATGCACATATGCTCCTGTTTGCTAAATGAGTTGATGCACAATTTATCAAAACATTTACAGCCATTAAATTTCTTGTTCTGAGCAAAAAGTGAATGGGAGGGCACTCTTCATCATTGAAAATGTATATACAGTTGTCCCTTGGTTAACGAGCACAATCCGTTCTAGAAGGTTGCTCGTTAACCGAAACCGTTGTTTCAAAGGGTTTTTGGGTAATTGGTTCCAGGTCACCGAAAATTGCCTAAATTCAACAAAAAATGTAGAAAAGTACACTTACTTTGAGGTGTGTATGTAGAAGGCTCCTGATGATGATGATGATGATGATGATGATGATGGGAATTAGAATGGGGGTGGAGGAGAAGGGAGAAGAGAAGGCATTGGGGTGGAAGAGAAGTCACCCCATGTTGCCATTTCACCCATAAAATTTTGGTGTAATTCAAGATTATTTTCTTTAAATCAACACTGCACTGCATTATATATTGTGAATATGTAAAATAAATTTCAAAATGACCAATAATTTGCTTGCAAACACAGAAAAAAATATTTAGTTGAAGAGAGTCTCAAGCAAGATGTTACCTCCACTGAAAAGACACAAAGACTGACGCCTGTATGGTGTGTTGGCAGGCTGGATGGCGCGCATAAAACTAGTCACTTTACCTTCAATTGTGTTCAATAATTGTTAAAATGACTAAAAAATTTAATATTAAAATTTTAAAATTATTGAATTGTATAAACTTCTTGATATTTACTAAAATAGTAAGGAATTTAAGCCCTAGAACCGATTACTGTATTTGCGGACTAATACTACAGCTGGTTGACCGCCAAGTGCAAGAGAAAAAACTTGTTGTGGTCGGCTCGTAAGAAACTCGTTAACCGAAGTTAAGAATCTTATGGGAGGTAACTCGTTAACCGAAATCTCGTTAACCGAGGGATCACTGTATTTTTATTAGGTTAAAAGTGTTCTTGAAATCTAGTTTGCCTAACACTTCATTCATCGGGATCATCAGCCTGTACCATTATACTGATGGATTAAGGCCTCTTGTGTGGTTCCAGTTATTTCTGCTCCGCCCACTGAGCACTTCCAAACTTCATGTCGCGATCACAGCAGCTCTTCAACCCTATACATTATTGAGAACATTTCCTATTGAATTTATGGTAAAATAAGGAAAGAGAAGTTTGGCTGAGCTTTAAGATTTTTTCATGTCATTATAAGATTGACAGCATAAACCAATTTTTTTTAAATATTTATTCAAGTACTGGTACCTGTAGTCTAAGTTTAGATTGTACTCTAGTATCTAATCTTGAGACAAGATAATTTAGACGCTAATCTGAAGTTCCTTCAAGGGCAATATATTGTGATAATTCTTTTAACAAGAAAAGTTACTACTGTATGTGAGCATAAATTTGGACAGACTTAAAGAAAACCAATTATCTGGAAATATAAATGTTCAGAAATTGGGGGTGCTGGAAAGGTACAATCGCTAATGGTATTTGGAAACATTACAGCGGTACATGTATTTAAAGTGCTGTTACCCGATACTAGAGAAAATCATACCTGGTACTTTTCTTATTTAAAAGTAAAAAAATTTAACCTATGATATTAGCTAAAAGGGTTATGACACAAGACCTGGAATAATTAAAAAAAAAAAAGCTAAACATCCCTCCCAGGCAGTAGCTAGCAGGCTTGTGGCTAACACAAATTGTTTTATACTCATAAATTGTGAAATGTATGGGTAGTGATTAGAGGACTAGTATGCATGACAGAAACACGTTTGAGATGGTGTAAAGAGTTAAGTGGTGGTGGTAGCTTGAGATGCAGGGCTAGACTAAGACAGATTTGGGGCTCCATTGACCACTGGCCCCCTTCCCTGCTCGTTAACATCCTGTGGTAAATTCCATTGGTGGGCTAAGTGAAAGAACACTATACTGTACACTCTTGTAATATTTTATTAGGCTTCTTATAAATCACATTAATTGAACTGAATATCACATTTAAAATTTAAATAACTGTCTGACCATACTGCCATGGCTCCCCCTTCTTTGCCATTTATAGTTGCTACCAGAACTGTATTACAAAAAAAATCCATGGATGCAGTCATAGAAGCTAATTTACCTCCATTCTAAATGTTCTCAGGCTGTTTTTACCAATCACCTAAAGGTTTCGATCTCTCTGCCTTTCCCTGCCTATCCTATCCTGAACTTTGCCCATTAATATTGATGTGATTATCCCTAATTATGTGACCAAAGTAGAGGTAGACCACCTCATATCCGGCAATCAGTAATCCGGTTCCACCGCCGGTTCGGACATAATTTGGCCACCGTATTTTCAAATTTCGCGCCGGTCTCCTCGCCAACCCGCCGCTACTGTTTGGTGGCGCCACTAGCTGACTCGGCTGTTGGCACGGTGTTTGAGGAGCGGCAAGTTATTCCTCTGTGTTATTCTTCATTTATTATTATAAACTGCTCTTATTTAGCCCCAGTCATGTCTTCATTGAATAAAGGAAATGCTTCTCGTGGTGTAAAGTGCAAACACCATACGTTGTCTATACAAGATAAGGTTGAACTTCTCAAAAAACTCAACAGTGGTGTGTCCGTTGCAGCATATGCGACTTGTATACCATTGGCCTTCCACAGTGTATGACATAAAAAAACAGAAAGGAAAGCTGCTCTAGTTCTTTGCTGATAGTGAATCAAAGAAACAGATGTCCATAAGGAGAACATTGAAAGATGGAAGATGTTCACAGCTAGATAAAGTTCTGATAAAGTTGTTTAAACACCACGTTAGTGAAGGTGTGGAACTGTCCGGGGAGATGGTGAGGGAGCAAGCAAAATTATTTCATGCAGAATTAGGAATAGATTATGCGTGTGATTATACTGAACGGTGGCTTCAGCGGTTCAAGCAGCGACATGGGATAAAGTTTCGTGCAGTGTGTGGTGAAAAAAGGTCGGCGGACAAGGAAGCAGTTGTTGCGTTTGTAGACGAGTTCGCTTAGTTAGTTTCGGATGAAAATTTAAGTCCCGAACAGGTCTACAATGCAGACGAAACCGCCATATATTGGTGTTGTGCTCCCGGGCGAACACTGACTACTGACGATACATAATTACCAAGAGGTTATAAAGCATCAAAAGATCGTGTCACTGTGTTGGGCTGCTCTAACACTGCAGGAACCCACAGGTGTAAGTTGTTAGTCATTAGCAAAAGTTTACGCCCCAAAGCCTTCAAAGGTATGAAACAGTTTCCAGTTATTTACTGTGCTAACAAAAAGGGATGGATAACAACTGACATTACATTGAATTGGTTCGAACATTACTTTGTTCCAGCAGCAAGAGCGCTCATTGTGACTGTTGGTTTGAAAAAAACTAAGATAATGCTGATTTTAGAAAACTGCTCTGCACATCCAAAAGCAGAACTCTTGGCGAAGAATAATATTTACGGTATCTACCTGCCACCTAACTGTACATCATTAATTCAACCCCTGGACAATGGCATATTACGGCTACTGAGTGCATGTAACTCTGGCAAACCAGTAAATGAATTTATGAAAGAATGTTATATGAGAGATGTGATTTATGGAGTTGCAAATGCTTGGCAGTCAGTAGAATCATCAACATTGAAAAACGGATGGCATTTGTGGCCAGCTTTATTGTTCAGTTCTGCACCTGGTGAGGAAATTGGAAATGAATTTACGGGATTTAGGGTTTCAAGTCAAAATCAGATTGTACGTGAACTGCTTTCTTATGCTCAAGATCTCGGTAATCCTACTGCGAAGGAAGCTGCATCGAGGCTGGATGCAGATAACATTAACGAGTGGATGGGTGTTGATGATGATGAATCAACTGTTCATCATTATACTGACGTTGAAATTGTTCAGATGGTTGTAAATCCAAAGACAAACAGCAGTGGGGGAGAAAGTAATGATGAAAACTAGGAAGAGGTAGCTGAAAGAGTGTCCATTGATAAGTTAGTTGAGCTGACAGGTGAATTGATAAAAGGTCTCGAACAATGCACTTTTGTTACTGAACAGGAAATAATGAATGTTTACATGTTACAAGAAAAACTAATCAAAGAAAGACCAAAATACATGAAACAGGTTAGCTTGCAGGATATGTTCAGAAAAATAGCAGAGAAATCTGTAAGACAGGAGTCAACACTTTTTAGATGAAACACAAGACAGTCTTGATGACCCCCTGCTTTCAGGCATGTAACTCTGCTTAGTTGTACAATCCAACTCTTTACTTTGGAAGTGGCAATAACCAACCTTCTGATGTAAGTAAATACAGATACCTTGTGTTAACGCTCATAGGAGCGTTATTGATTTGGGTTGGAGAATAAGACCCTCAACGATGACACGTACCATATAATTCGTTCAAAACCTGTTAAAGAACAATTCACATATAACAAATGCTGTTATCTCAGGACACACAGTATGAATAATACAATCAATGTACAGTACATAGCCTGTTAAATATAACTCACATGTTACAACTGTTGATACATCAGGAGACAATTTGTATTATATTATCAAAATACAGTACGTAAATATACTTATTAAGGTTATTTAGAGTTTTTTAGAGGATTTAATAGTTCACAATCACACTCACGTTTTAGGGTCTATGGTTTGACCAACGAGAGCTGGTGTAATATCCTCTTGGTAAAGGTATATGTTGTACAGTGGTCCCTCGGTTAACGAGCACAATGAATTCCAGAAGGTTGCTCGTTATCTGAAACCATTGTTTCAATGGGTTTTTGTGTAATTGGTTCCAGCTCACCGAAAATTACATGCAAACTAAAAATAAATGCAGTAAAGTACACTTACTTTGAGGTGTGCATGTAGAAGGCTCCTGGTTGATGATGATGATGATGGGAATTAGAATGGGGGTGGAGGAGAAGGGAGAAGAGAAGGCATTGGGGTGGAAGAGAAGCCACCCCATGCTGCCATTTCACCCATAAAATTTTAGTTCACTTGGTATAATTCAAGATTATTTTCTTTAAATCAACACTGCACTGCACGATATATTATCAATATGTAAAATCTATTTCAAAATGACCAATAATTTGACTGGAAACGCAGAAAAAAAGCCTTTATGTTGAAGAGAGTCTCAAACAAGATGTTCCTTCCTCTGAACTGGTAAACAAACTGACGCCAAGCTCTGTGTTGAGTGGCTGTTTGGCGTGCAAAAAATTAGTTTCCTGTACTTCAATTATATTCAATAATTGTTAAAATTACTAAAAATTTTAATATAAAACTTTTAAAATTATTGAATAGTACAACCTTCTTGATATTTACTAAAATGGTAAGGAATTTAAGCCCTAAAACCGATTACTGTATTGGCGGACTAATACTACAGCTGGTGGACCGCCAAATGCAGGCGAAAACATGTTGGGAAAATTCATAAGGAATTCGTTGACTGGGGGTTTGCTCGTTAGCCAAAGTGAAGAATCTTATGGAAGGTAATTCGTTAACCGAGGGATCACTGTATATGTTAGTTGAACGAAAGGTGTTGTCTCTCTCTCTCTCTCTCTCTCGTTTATCTTACTGTGGCAGTAACACCTAGTAAGGTATTTTGCCTGTATATACAGTATACATACTTCAATAAATTTCACTTGCTTTTCATTTGTTGTTTCTTTTCATTACCCAACTTGTACTATTTACAGAGTATTTTAAAGGTAGGGTGAGGTAGTTATGAAGTGGGTTAGAGGTGTTTATTTATTTAATCCTAACCTAATCACCTGTGGTTTGGCAAAATCACTAATCTGGCACTGCTCAGGACCCAATCAGACCGGATTTGAGATGTACGGTAGTTCAATGGTGGATATTAATAGATATTTGGTCGTTTTACAGTACTGTACAGTATCTATTTATTTATTTATTTTTTATTTTTTTAATGGACATGGCCATGTACTGTAACCTATGTGTCTTTAGTGTTTATTACTGCACTGTCTAACAACTAACATGATTAACAGTGATGGTCTATGATGGGTCGAGGGAGGCGTCTGGCCCTTGGCATCTTTGTCCTGCTGGTGGTCGACGTCATTTGGGTGGCTTCATCAGAATTGTCGGAGGTATTATTTTCTTACATCATGTTCAGTTTTTGTCTGTGATATAACATGAGAAAAATATAGTAAGTTACAGAGTTTACTTGCTGTACCAGTTCATTTCTACATTCAGAGTTGCCTGAAAAGCTCATGCTTGCATTACAGTATCTATATTGAAGACACTGAGTACCATACATCTCAACAGCCTTGAATATGAAAAACCGCACAACTGTTTTCTAAATGTTTGTTGAAGAGAGACTGGAAGTAACGGAGAGATTGAGTAGGGGTGGAAGAGGTCATGGAGGAACCTGTTGAAAAGATTAAGAGAGAGAATGAAGTCTGTTCCCTACCACATTCTGACCATTAGAATTTTACTAACCACAGTGACTTTGAGAGCAGAATGTCTGGAAAAAAGGATACAAGGAATACTAAATTTAGAAATAAGATGTGCAAATAAAAGGAGACTAACCAGGTTTCTTGAGATGGTGTGGACAGGTTGAGAAGACGGGGGAACAAGGATTAAAAAAAAAGAAGTAAATGGTAGGAGAGAAAGTGGAAGACCAAAAAGGAGATGAAAGAATGGGCTGGTGTATTTAATGGATAAAACGGGAATAGACAACAGGGAAGAAGCAGAGATCATGGTGTTGAGTAGTTTATGGGGATGGACCTGCCTCTGAGGGGTGGTATTAGGTTTACTAAAGTAATGTGGGTAAAGCAGATGGAAATCTTTAGATTGTGTTGTGGAAGGGAAGCACTGTAGCAGAACACATCTTATGCACAAGTTATTAATGAATGATCAGCAGCAAATAATGGGAGGGTATCTGTTTCTCTTGAGCCTGAAACACTTTCTTTTTAGTATACGCTGTTTGTAACATTAAGAGAAAATAAATATATAGTATAAGGGATGAAAAATAATAGACTTTTTTATATTTTTCAAATTTTATTTTCAGTATATCTTCAATGATACCGGCTTCAATAAACCTTTTTTCAGTACATACTTAAAGACCAGTATGTTTTCACTATATTTGCTGGGATTTATATTTTGGAGCCCCTGGAGACACCAATGTGCCCAAAGAAACCACAATGAGAGTATTTACCAGGTAAGTTATTTATTGCAATTCATATTAGATTATTTTTTTGATATTTTTTATATATATGTGGAAATGGAAATTCTTTTAGGGTAATTGTGTTGCTCTTTTTTCTGTGTTAACTAGACTTGAGTCATGCTATACATACTGTAGAATATTTACTGATTACAAAAGGCATTGGTTATTCCTTTTATTTCCAAGGCCTCCAGACCACCATTTTATTTCATAACTTTGCCTTCTCTTTCCCCCTTATCCCCTTCACTTCCTCTTGTGCTGAATAGAATCATCTGGCATTAGCCAAATGAAATATTTAAGAGACAATGAAGGGGTTAATACAGTAAAACCTTTATCGTTTATCAATCAATACTTTACAAATTGGCTAGTTCATACATGCAGTTCAATGTGTGTTATGTTCACCAAAAATTAAATATTTTACACTTCCATCAATATTGCAAAATATAAAATTAAAAATATAAGAAAATGTGTTCAACAAAAAACAATAGCAAAGCAAGTAGTGATGTACAGTATGTTCATTGTACAGCCCATTCTTCCTGCATCACCTGAAGAGGCACTGGGAGGGAGTGTATATTAATATGAAGTGAAAAATGTATTGTCAAAGCACTTGGTCAGTAATGTGTCCAAATTTAAGCTTTCTAGCTCAAAAATTTCCATAAATAACATCCAGACAACATTAAGTGTTGAGTTGAGTATGCTTCTAATATTCTCTTGCTATTACAGGAAGTGGATTCAATGGAGGATGAAGATTTACCGCTGTCAGACGTTTGGTATGTTGAATTGTACTTGCCATTTGTAGTTGTGATGTAATACAGTATTATGTTGATGTAATTGTGAATGGGTGCTTGTAGTACTTAATTGTATTATTAACTCCTTCACTTCAGTGTTCAAATTATGCAAAGTTTAAATAGATTTTGCGCCTTAATCCTTACAATAATTTTGTGTCATTTATATTAAGGTGATACAGCAATTATTAAAGCATAATATTTCATAGCTAAATAGAGTAATTTCTTATTGCTGGCTTTGTTCCAACAATTTCAGAAAGAGACTCAATTATAGCCTCAAATCTGGTGTAAAAGCATGTTGTTGATAAGCCTCCAAACTCCTCATTGCTCATGTCCCTCATTGTTATCTCTACCATTAGCATTGGGGAGTTCTGATGGTCAGTCGTCATTGTTATTGTCACTGCTGTCGATACCTTTCTTTTCTATATCTCTAAATTAGGTGTAAATTAATGTAAAAATAACAGTAAATTTATTGTGTGGCAGTTGTGGTAAGACTGGTGGAGGAGTGTGGTGTTTTTTTTATGAGGGAAAGACAATTGTTTGAAGACCGGGTTGGGCAAAGTGTTTTATAACCATTTTCCACGCTTGTGTGGATTAGCCGTGATTATCTGATGGCAACTTTCCATTCTACAGTCTTTTGCATTCCCTCTTGTCAGGTTCTTAACTCTTAATGTCATTTCTTACAACCTCTCCCCATGTCATTCTTGGCTCTTCTCCCCCCACATTTAGACTCATACACCTCTTGACCTAATTAGTGTGATTCATTCTCCAAAATTCCAAACCATCTCAGCATACTGCTACACAGAATTTTGCCAATAGAACTCAATACCAGCCACCCTCTTACCTCTGAAAAGGATTTTTTGTCTTTCAGTGCCACATTGCATATCCACCTCACTAGTCTCATTTAACTTGATGGATAAATGTATTGCAACTGCATAGGTTGTAGTAGAGTGGTGTGGTCCAAAATTGTTTGGGTACACCTGTTTAAAATTTGCATGACAGGAGAAATTATGTATTAATGAATATATGTAGCACATAGTGAAAAGTGTTCACTTACTTAAAAATTTCTTCTATACAAAAGTCTATTCAGTATACAGACTGCATATAGTGAGGAATATCTATACTTAAACACTTGTCAAAAGGTTACTTTTAACAAGTTTTATGAACAATCTGTAACCCAGAGAATACATTAATTCTTTAGAAGTTGCTATTTTGCATGACCTGGCATTTTCTGAGAATGCAGCTACT